CTCACAGATCGAACCCTGAAACAATCTCTGGATTGATCGAAGTCAGGACACTGCTAACAAACAGAGCAAATTAGAATCTAGGGTGTTAAGCTTTGCTTTCGATTCAAGGAAGAGACTTGAACTACAGACAGGAAAGACATTTAGAGAAAACAGAGATTCTTTCTCTTTACCAAAAAATTCCTGAATTTAGAACCATAAACAAGTATCGCTGGAGAAGAGAGGACGAAATGTCGGCACAACACTGACTACATGTCACTTGAACCGCTGTACTATTACAGCATTTAATAGATTCGCTTCTTGGATAGTCTGCCCTGCATCTGTTAACTCCTTATTTGGGAATGTTGTCATGAGAACGAACGGCCTTCCTGCCATCTGAGGTCTTGAACTAAATTAATATCACGTGGTTAAGGAAACCTGGTTTAAGACCTTAGGAATAAACTGAAGTGACGATTGGGTATGAGCCTGATCTTGCCTCCCTTTTCGGTGGATGGGTGGTGGGAGGGTGGATGGGTGGAGGGTGGGTGGAGGGCGGGTAGATGGCGGTCCCGCGGTCAGATTAAAGAGGTCTATATAGTTATTTTCTGAGATACTTTTACCATCATCTGTAATCTTTTTTATATATTTGTAAAAACTCTTTTTCATTATAAGGTAATAAAGTTAATCGTCTGATTGATCGAAAAACAAGGTGATCAAATGGAGCCAGCGTAAAGAAATTATGGTCGACTTAGAGAGGCCATAACAGAACTAGGTGGTCGATTCAAAAAGGGGTGGGAAACAAAGATGGTCGAAACAGAAGAGTTAATGAGTTCGACTTAAAAAGGTTTTGACTAAAAGTGAACGATTTAGAAAGACGAATAAGAATAAAATATGCCCTACTCAAAAAGATATTATAAGATGGTCGATTTAAAAGCAATGGTCGATTATCAGAGGTGGTCGATTATCAGAGGTGGTCGAATCAAGGATAAACGACAATAAAATGTGATTACCAGACCTAGAAATGTTATGACAATAACGGGGTGCGGCTCAAAATGAATGGATGGTGGTCGATAATCAAAGGTGCTCGCCCGGAGGCTGTCACCTGCTTTTTAGGCAAAACGCCACGATTTATTCCTCGCACGATAAAATACAACAACAAAAATCCGAAGATTTTTCACACAAGAATCGATCGTTCTTAATATCAATATACATTTTGTAAATATTTTTTTCCTGGACTGTTTGTAGAGGCTTTCAAGCTCACAAACAAACGCAAACAATATTTGTTCCTGACCAAAGCAGAGACTTAAAATTAGTCTTTCTCTTTTATAAGATAACCCAAACTATTAACACCTATTATTCCGATAATTTTTAATGCCAAAATTTTTAATGGCAAAACCAACTTTTGAACATTGGCTTTGTAGCTAAGCCAAAAAATATTCAAAATTGTTGACTTACAACGAAAATAATTGTATAACTCAATACTTCGATTGCTTAACAATTTTTGGTTCAAAGTCGAAAGGCTTGACTTGGTATTTTTCGAATTGAAAGTCTTTCGTGATTAAGGTGTATACTTTGACACGAAAACGCAGGCCAATATTTTCAACTTCAGAAATACTTGCTAACAATACTCTTGTACTTGTCAATGGAGCAAGACTTATGAAGAAATGAAGTACGATGATCTCTGAATAACGATAGACTTGATATGAGAGAAATGACTTTTCTTTTCTTGAGTATAGACTACGTTTGGGGGGAAAAAACYTATAAAATTTGTAATTGAAATTGTTTATCTAAAATGCATAAAATATTCTGGACTTCAAGAAACAGGTGTAGAATTGAGTTTAAAAATGAAAAGCTTTTCATTAAGTACTTTTTTCAATTCAATTCTTAATATTTACTTCACCACAGAAAGGAGTGCGAGTTCTTTGGACAAAAATATTCACTTTTGAAACGAAAACAATTTTCTTTTGTCAGTGAATTTGTGTTTCAGAATATCCTAGGRAAAAAAATCTTTATCAACGTTATTTAAATATAGAATAAGAAATCGAAGCATTAGCGAGAACAGGTGGTATTTGAAATATTACGAATATCAACAACAAAGACAGAAAGATTTGTATAATAATAAAAAATGCAAGTGAGAAATAGGAAACTAGAAAAATAAAACAGCAAAGAAAAAGCCAGAGAAAAGTAATGTACATAGCTGTCATGAAATTAAGATTAGATAAATAAGAGAATGGATTTGGAAAAATAATAACACAGGTTTTTAGAAAGAGACCTAGGAACTTAGAATTTGAATAAAAGGAGAACTAGGGAGGAAAAGGTTGGAAAAAATTCCATTGAAGAAAAATTACTGTGGAATTGAGGTTTGAGTTCAGAATCCCAGAGCTTAAAATAGTCGCTATATTAACAAGGGAAGTTCAATAGTAGTTGTCGAGAATAAGTCTAAGAACCCAATAAGGAAAGAAAGGAAATTAAGAATGACAGAAATATAAAAAAAATTGAGATCAAAATTGTTGGTAGTTATTAGGAACAAATTGCATGGCACCATGCTGCAAGGCACTATAATAACATCTTTCAATTTAAAAGCCAAACACACAAAATGGGAGGTGGGAGGGGAGGGTTGGGAGGGGAGTTTAATTCAAACATGATAAGGGAGGTGGGAGGGGAGGGTGGGGGATTAACAGATGGCCACCAAAGGTAGCCCAACTGGTCCACAGCTGAAAGTGTGCATTTGACGGTGTGCTCTCTCAAAGCACACACTCCCAACCAATCAGAAAGCAGGGTGTATAGCAGTTATTTCATAAGATGCTAGTAATATAGACTTTGGTAAAGGATACGCTACAATAAATGCCCTTATGTCTCTTACTGTCTGGGTATGATTGAACTTTGATACCAATCTAGTAAATAAAAGTATCATATAAAATAAGTATGTGAGGGGTGGGGTGGGGTGTGGTGGGGTACAGACTCCTAAAGAGGGGGGAATGAAAAGGGGGGGCAGTATACCAGTATATTTTGCATCAAATCTTATAGCAGTTCTCAATAGCACAATAAGAGCAGGGGCAGATCAGGCTAAACATATGGGGGGGGGGGGGGGGGGGGGGGGACCAAATTTTGCTTGACCTATACGAAATGGCTCATATTGCTGTAAATCTATTACTTTCATTGAATAAAACTATAGCTGAAGGAGGGGGGGCTACAGCTCCCTTGCCCCTCCCTGTATCCACTTCTGAAGAATCATTGTAAGAATGAAGGGTTTTGGTGGACGCTAATCGAGGCATTTCCATGACATTCCATTGACATTTGTCTTTGAAAACATTTCCCCCACAAATTCTTTGATTGAATAATACTCCAAAATCTGGGAATCTGTGTCCTCCTTAGGAAGTCAACAAAGCCCCCTCCCCCCCACCCCATCTGCCCCAACCCATAAACAACCATGAAAGGTTCCTAACCTTGTTCCATCTCCTAGTCTGATTTGAATACTAGTTGTAGGCTGTGATTGGTCCACTATTGATGGTGGTGCGGCGCTACTTGACCCTGCAGACGATGATGATGATGTTCCTACCTTTTCTTCATTATATTTAATATCAGGAGCTGGACTGCAAAGGGAAAAGTAAAAAAATAAAAAATAAAAACACCTTTAAAAACCAGAAAATCCAAGGAAACAAAACAAAAACAGATAGGAAAAAAACTAACAAAGAGATAAACACACTGATGGATAGACAGACAGACAAACACAGGTGTGCACAGATGGGCAGACAGGCAAGTAGGCAGACAGACACACGGATGGACAGAAAGGCAAGTACTGTAGGCAGACAGACAGACACACGGACAGACAAATAAGCAGATGGAAAGACAGACAGACAAATTCTTGTTAGTGCAAAGTAATGACATATCATATACAGCTTGTAGAACTAGCAGTTATTCATGAGTACCTTCCAAGTTTCTGTCCTGTTCCTTGAAAAGCAACAATAGTTGGTTTCTTGGGAGGAACATATTCCTCTTCTCGGTGATCTTCTAGGTTGACATGTACCTCACCACCACGTGACAGACGGTACAACTCTCTGGGGATCTCCCTGTTACGATATTAGTCAAAGTTACCACTAATATCTGCCATTCCATAGCACATACTTACTATTAACTTACTGCTATACAGTACGGAATTGAAATATGGTGACCAATTTGAATAACTATTGTGGTTCTGCACTGACTGGTATAGTGACTGACTAGCCTCGTGTTCACATGGAAACATAAATTTTTTTCACATGTATGAGAGGCTAGTCACTCACTACTCAGTGCAGAACAATATTCAAATTGGTCACCATATTTCAATTGTGCACAAATCTTGCTTTCTGATTGGTTAGTGGTAAAGCACGCTTTATTAGAGCACACTGTGACTAGGATGTGTGCATACTTTCTGTTTGTCATTTATATCCAAAATAACAGTTAATTCTTAATAAAGATATCTGAAATAAAAATATTGATCACTGTGTTGCATGTAGCCTCCTTTATAGACAGCAAACATTTGTAGTGTCATGAGTGAATGTTGTCATGCAGCATCTCTTTCTCTACTTGGGAAGGAAGCCTAGCAAGACAGCCTGAACCAAAGAACGTCTGCATAGGGGACTGTACTGTGTGCAGTTAGGAAGCATTGGAAATTGGCAGAACATTCAAAAACTATCGAGATTCAAACACTCTGGTATGCACTGTGCTTCTACTAACACTTCTCTCATGTTCTGCAAAACCACATTGAGCAAGCAAGATTTCTTACTATTTCTTCCATAATTAGTTTAAAGGAATCTCCTCTTAACTGAGTTTTTGAAGCTACAGTAATATCAGTTTGAAAGATCACTAAAAAATTAATCAATTTAACTTTGAAGTTTTTCAGTCCAAAAGTGTGTATCAAGTCGTGAACTTATGAACAAACTTCAGAAATGGAGCGGCTGAAGTTTTGTGAAATCAACTGTAAGGAACTTTTACTCCAATGATTTTCAAGGTGTATAATTTACCTTTTTATCATTACTATTTCATTAGAAACACCGACACAGCTCACACTAGTTTTTAGCTAGTTATCTCTTCTGTAAGGAGCTTACCCTCTTTTAACAGCATCAATAAATTCTTTATTACTAGGATCATCAAAAGAGCGCAGTTCTCCATCATCAACTGAGAATCCATTAGACCAAAACTTGAGTAAGACTTCTGTCTGTTATACAAATGTTCAAAATAAAAAATACATATATAAACTAATCCCAAAACTATTTGAACACTAGGTACAGTAGTACCACCTCATCATGACATGGTATAACACAGCATGGAAATCTAGGTTGGTGTAGTGGTAGTACACTCCCCTTTCAGCTTTGGGCTCTTGGGTTCAATTCCTGGACTTGGCATCACATGTGAGTAAAGGTTGTTAGGTCTCTCCCTTGATTGGTGGGGTGTGGGTTTGATTCCTTGACTCAGTATCACATGTGAGTAGAGTTTGTTAGGTCTYGYCCTTGATTGGTGGGATGTGGGTTTGATTCCTGGACTCAGCATCACATGTGGGTAGAGTTTGTTAGGTCTTGCCCTTGATTGGTGGGGTGTGGGTTTGATTCCTGGACTCAGCATCACATGTGAGAGCGTAGAGTTAGTTAGGTCTCCATATTGCTTAAAGGATTTTTCACTGGGTGCTACAGTTTTCCTCCCTTCACGATACCTAACATGCTAATTTCCAATTCAATTTGTGAATTAGCTGTGCTCTGACTTTGACTAGCCCAGAGTTTGTTTCGCATTATCAACAAAACTTGATAGTTTGTTTTAAGGCCAGTTTAGACAGTACGATTTTCGCCTACRACTATCGTATACAACACGCTCGAGCCATCCTACAACTCAAGCCGTAGCGTGTAAATCTACGACAGACGAGAGCGTGTTGTATACGATAGTCGTAGGCAAAAATCRTACAATCTAAACCAACCTTTAAAATGGCAATGTGACTTTTCCAAGTTATTCAACATTTCCTCTATAGCATGACCATTTGAACCGCACAGCAGGTTATCTTTTAAAGAGAGCCATTTCATTGACAGCTTAAGTCATCAACCATAGATAGATATATGTAAAGATAAACTACACTATCGAATTACAATGTAGTAATCCGTTCAGTTTGATAATTTAATCCTGTCATCAGCATGAGGGATTTTGATGCCAATCTATCCCACGTCATCCAGCTTCCCAGCTGACGTTTTGCGATTGAATTGCAGCATGTCACCAGGGGTCACTCATTTCAAATAGGCCTTAAGTTTATCATGACGTTATTGATGGTAAATCTTACATCTTGTGGTTCTTGTCCGGCTGGTCTTGTGCCAGCAACAGGCTGTGATGTCCCTCCTTCAGTATCTCCAAGTCTATAGCCTGCCCCAGTAAATCTGGTAGGGGGTTTGCTGCTGGGACCAGGTTCATCTGAGACCTCTTCAGCACCATGTCTGCAGTTTAAAATATGGTTTCGTGGGTTAGGCTGGAATTAGTGAGTTAGGAAGATAATGAAAGATAACAAGTCAATGGAATTTAGAAACAGAAGCTGGCAATGCTTTCACTAGAACCACTAGTCTTTCTCATGCAAGCTTGAGATCTGGTCACGTGATGGTTGTAAACGACGTGACAACTGGTGAGGAATATCCTTTAGGGAATGCCATTTACAACCGTCACATAACCAACCTTGCCTGAAATAGACTTAGTGGTTCTAGCTGAAACATTGCCAGCTTCTGTTTCTAAATTCCAGTAACTGACACATTATCTTTATCATAATATCCAACTGGATGTCTAACTAGCGCAAGTTTAGTAATAAAAATGGCAGGACTGCTTCCATTTGGAGGTTGCTGTATTTTTGTTTTGATCATCATAATATTATAACGAGTTCAAACAGTAAGTTTTCAGAAATATAAAAATAATAGTTTCACCAAAACATACCTTCTTGCCTCATCAAAGATATCTTGTGTTAAGTCTTTGGGGTTTTGCTTCTTTTTAGATTTTGGTGGACCTAAAATTTGCTGTCCACTGGAAATCAAAAAATGAATGAATAAATGGTCAAACAAAGATAATTTACTGTGCGGACACACTAACAGGGTCCACTTGGATAAGACCCACCAATCAGATAGCAGAAAACTAGACCAAGATTGAACTGATAACAGTGTTAGCCAATCAAATTATCACATTCTCATGCTCTTATCATATTGATGTGAATCTGATTGGCTGGTTTAAAATATCGAAATAAATGTCGCAATATGATTGGCTAATGGTAGTAGTTTTTCAAAGTGGTCCTGGTTGGAGTATCCACACAGTAATTCATTATTCACAACTTCTATCCATTTTTTATTTTACTTTTTCATTTTCCATTCCTACATTGAAATAACGAATTATTTTTTAATTTTCCTACATGTATAATCTCTTTATTCATGTATTCATTTGTTTATTTGTTTCCTTTGTTTTCCCTTTCTTCCCTTTCTTCCTTCCCTTCCCACTCAAAAATTTACCAGTCCTTCCCCCCCCCCATCTTTCCTCTCCCATCCATCCAACCATCTATTCATTCATTTGTTTGATTCATATGTAATAATTAAGACATCTTTACATCCATTCATTCACTTATGTAGTTTATCTAGATATCATTCTCTATCTATATCCAAATTATCCATTTTTCTACCCACCCATCTACCTTGTTTCGGAACCTCCTGCATAAAAAGCTTGTCCCTTATCTTCCTCACTATCATTCTCTTCAYCACCCGCTCTGAATGCATCCATTGTAGCAATTCTAGCACTAGATCTGAATAACAAAACAATATGAGACATAAACAGGAGCTGTGCATCCTTTGCAGTGATAACAAAGGGACAAAAAAGCATGGCCACCATGTTGGTTGTAGTGAAATAAGAATCATGAAATAAATTAGATATAACATGTGCCCTGATTGGTCAAAAAATCATGTTTGATAAGAGTATGAAACAAAAACACATCCTTTTTTCTGTGTACACTCTGATTGGAAGGTCCACGAAAATTAAAAGTTATTTTTTGTTAATTTGTTATTTTATAACAAGATTCTTAGGAAAAAACCATAGATTTATTTTAATTTTTGTTGAATTTAACAACTTTATTGAGTAATAGCTGTACATGTACATGCATAAATAAGATAGTAGAGTAATTAGAAAAAAATTGTGGATAAATACCCAATAGGGAGAGCGCAAATGGGAATTTAAGCCCATGCTAGGCACTTCCCTTGAGGACTCACATTAGATAAAATAAATTTAAATAAACAAATTTGATATACTATTAACTGTGATACGGACACTTGCAAACTATACCTTGTTCCACGACTTTGAGTATTCTGTGAGGTAAAACAACCAATGCAAATATCAATAATTTTTGAATAATTATAATGTTAAATAAGCAATAATTAACAAAATTGTCTTGCATATAGCCTTATCTCCTTGATAAGCCTGTGAGCTAAGGTGTTGATGTAATTCAAGCTATTATCATACTATCATACTATTAAAAAAACTTGGATGAAAATGGAGCAATCTGATTGGTTTCCTTAGTGATCAGGCTTCTAGAACTTCTTCTCTCTTGGCTCAGTTAATACTCCTATACTCCTATATGCTCCTTGCATCCATTAATTAACCTCTTTAATTAGCTTGGGCATATTATTCCCTATTTCAGACCAAGTCTCATTCTCTTGAATAAGATTCTTTGTTCAAGTCTCATCCACATTCATGTGCTTCTTGCACACAACCGTTATACAAAGAAATAATACTCAAGGGAATAATTACATGTGGTCAGAAATGGGAAACATTATCAAACCCAAGCTAAAAGGGTATATTAAAATGATACCAAAGAGAAAACTGTCCATTAACTCCTAGAGTTACCTGTGGTTGAGCTGCTGATGGTGGTGGAGGGCTTGGAGAATCATCTCCTCCATCTTCAAAAAAACTACTAAGAGCAAGCTGAAAGAAAATAACACAGCTTTGTCATATTTTGAGATTACTACTGACGGGATTTCTGTACACGACACAGGTAACCCAAGCTGATTTTTGTTACTTTCTTTTTGTCGAGGAAAATCTTTTTAATACCATAAAATGAGTTTCTAAAGTCTTTAAATACCATGTTTAATCCTTAAATCTTTAAAAATTAGAAGCCTTGGACGTAATAAGAAAACATTTTGACGAAAAAGGGCAAGTTTAAGAAAACGTTAAACTAAAAAAACTTGAACGTAGGCTTTAAGTCTCTTTATTGTAAAAGAACATTTCTTATTAATATCTTAGTTATCGTATAAAATAGATACAGCGCCTATTATCATGATATTTTTACAGAAAAAGCTTTCCAAATGACATTTGATTGAAACAGGTCCCAAATGTTTTAGAAGTTAGACAATCCCAGAATTAAAAAAATAAAWAAAAAATTCGTACATAAGACAAAACTTACGTGTAATTGCCAGCCAGAAGATTCTAAAAAGAACTGTGCTCTATCTGCATCAACTCCAGTAACATCAGAAAACTCTGATATCAAACGATCTTGTTCTCCTCTGTCAGCCATTTTGGATTTGAAAGGAAAGTCACGTGACTAATGGATTGTCTAAAAGACTGGGATCTAAATAAAGGCGGAAATATTCAGGAGCCGCGCGCGAATAACGCGCCAACACAAATAATTTCCACGAGTTCACGCGGAACTTTATAAGAAAAAATGTGAACATTTGTTAAGATTAACTAAATCTGGTCAATGTGTAATGATGTTATATATATTATAGAACTTTYACTTTCTGTTCACAATTTGCTAGAATGGTGGAAATAGTTAATGAGGAAGTTGAACAAATGTCGTAAGCTAAGCTTGTTTGTTAGTTTTTCGTTTTGACTGAGCTGGGAAATTCCCCTAATCCAAGGATTTCCTTCGTTTTTCCGCATTGTTTCTTGCCCTAGTTGTGGGGGTTTGGAAAGTTGAAACGAACTGTGCGCATCGTTGACTTTGGTGCGAATACTTCTTAATCAATAGCGCATTCATTAAAGAAAAACTTCCTTAAGACTTTCCTTATTCCTGCTTTTTTTCCATCCATTTCCCTTCATTTTATGCTTCGTTCTTCCTCCCATTCGTTAGYATTTTTGGGGGGAATTTTTACCTCTTTTTAAAAAAATTCTCTTGATGTTGGTCATCCTGTGGTAGCGGCTATAGCCTGGTGTACCTTCCCATGGTTCGTGTGGATTGACGTCGTCTGTTTCCGGATTCTACTCACTTCGAACACCAAAAACTTGTCTAGAAAGAAATGTTCACGGCGATCTATCGGTATTTATTCCGTTAAATCCTCGTAGATCGCATGTTGAGCGTATAAGAATACAATACCAAGAAGACTGCCATGCTCTAGTGCGAAAATATGKGAGTTAACTAGAAATATTTGGAGACAAACATTTGGATATCCAAAGATCAACTCAGTTGCATCAATATTTTGAAAGACTTCGATCTGATAATTATTCGCTTGGAATTCTACGTTTGATTTAAGTAAATCACCACTTAACTTCGTCATGAGTAATCCCTCTAGCAGGTGAGTTTTAAATGGCTTACAAGTTCAAAACTCTTCAAAACATTTACCATTAAATTTCGTAGAAATTTTACTCTATATTCGTTTCAACTCTTTAGTTGGCCATGGTATCATTCCAGCCTCTCAAGAAGAGAAGCAGAAGCAGTGTTAAGTGGCAAAACCCCGGGGACTTTTCTCGTAAGAGATAGTTCTTCAATTCCCGGAGACTTTGTCTTATCGGTCAGGTAATAAATAAATAAAGCTAATATTTCTTTATTTTGTTAGTAAACTCGAAATCTAACGACGTAGATTGAAGAATTAATGTGACAGACTGCAGACATACTTTTTAATAGGAAATTCGTATTAAAAATTGTTTTTGTTTTGCCTTTTCTTGTTTAGTTGATGGTTTTAGTCATCCTTAGTTGTCATTTTGAGAAAAGGAGTGATTATGAAAATCTAAAGTAATGTTTTAAGTTTGATTATTCGATCGCAGCTATTAGAATGCTGCTTTTTTGACCGAGTTTATTATGTAAACATGAGATCAATACTCTCACTAAAAGCACTGATATAAATGGCATAATTAGATTTTCTCATCAACACAGATGTCTGAGACTATAATCCATAATTAATATTTAGACACATCTAGCGTACACTTACAATATGTGCAATTGAAGTTGTTACATTTAAGGGCGAAAAGCAACTTCGCAACTTTCCATGTAACTAAATACTGCTTATCAATGTGTACTGATCATTTTGCATTTCATCTTATATTTTATAATTAATTCTTGCGGCAAAAGCATCTTGGTTTTAGCCACAAGAATTTAATGGTAACTTTTTGTATGTGCAGAGGAAAGAGGCAGAATTTTCACCTCTAAATTTTAAATTATGGAAAAGAAAAACTTGGACCCCATACCAGTACTACAACACAGTTTCATTGCATCCCTATATATCAAGAAAATATTCAAAAATGCTTACTGTATGCCAGTACAACCAAAAGCACCCAATTATATTTTAAAGGGAAATTTTTTTCCGCTGACATTGTGGTTGTGGCACCAAATAGGTTTTATATGACATTGAAATGGCTTTCCGCAACATTCAATTGGTTTTTAACCATTTTTCCTTCCAAAAGTGTAAATACCCTACCAGAGTGCATTTAAAGTTGTTAATGATAACAACCATGAGTTTGGCTTTTTTATTTTATACTTTTATAGCTTATGACTCGGCATTAATTTTTTAAATGATTTTTTATTTCTGATAATCATTAATTATTTTAAATCTAATTCTTTTGTAGTGAAAGTGGAAAAATCAGTCACTACATTATAAACTTCAAGGGAAGCTATTACCAAATCGGTGAACAAACATTTCAAGAAATTCCAAGTATCATTGAATTTTATAGACAACACTTTCTGGATACAACCACACTGAAAGAACCAGTAAGTGATCAAAATTTTACTTTAAATTTAATAATAAGGATAATCATGATGAAAATGATAATAATGGGATTAACAGTGGATTCCACAGAGTGGCTCTTCTTCCACTGGATTCCAATTGGAATTTAGAAGTTGATTTTTACGGAGGGAGGAAAGCCGGAGAACCCGGAAAACCCTACTCTACTCACATACAACACTGAACTCGTTGGGAATGTAATGATACATGATAATGTTTTACTTGTAATGATAGACAGTAGCTAACCAACCTATAGCCCTAGAGAGGGTTTTCCCTGTGTTCTCTAATTTTCTTCCCTCTTCAAAATCCAACACACTAACTTCTAATTCAATCTGCGAGCCATGCCCTGACTTAGGTCAGCCCAGAGGTTGTTTCAGGGTTCGATCTGTGAGTTAGC